TATATGTACCCAAGCTATCTATTTCAAACATATGTTCTATAAATTGATAAAGAAAAATATGACATATCAGTGACACACTGCTAAAACATGTCATATGTTACCTGATCAAACACATGCATCACACTACTAATGTAAGTACGGTACGATACCTTAACTAAATCCTAGGTAAAACAGTTATATAGAACAGAAACCTGCTAATAACTAAAGACAAGATTCATATCCGAATTTGGGTCAAGGAACTCAGCATACAATATATAGAATTGATCCTATGAAGTAACACAAACAACTCAAATGTTTAATTAGCACATATGGGAGACTTAGGTAATCCATCTAGTCGAAATATCTTTATGACGTAGAGTCAGTATATAAATATAGCAGTCACGTATATTATTATTATTAATTATTATTATTATTATTATTATTATTATTATTATTATTATTATTATTATTATTATTATTATTATTATTATTATTATTATGAGTAGTAGTAGTACGTAGTAGTATTAAGAACTATTGATAATCCTGGTGAAAAAAAAGGACACAATGGGAGAGAGTAACTTTATTTTGATGCTTTTTTGATCGACACCATGCCTAACCCTTCTAGGGTAGGGTAGGTGCCTGAGCCCGAGCCTTTAGCTCATAAGACTGTCATTCCCATTTGCCCCCTTGGGGCGGGGATGGCAGACCAGAGAGGCCTAGCTTGTGGCTAGGCCTGGGGACAGTTGGTCCCAAAGATGAGGAGGTACTTGTGCCTCCTCCCATGGGAGACTTAGGTCTCAGACACTCCCTAAAGAGGGAGCCATGGCCGGGCCACCACTTGGAAAAGGCCCGGGCCGGGAGAATACCGGCTAATCTTTAATAATAATAAATTCTGATGTTTCGCCCATGAACAGTCTTTATACTATTTATTTTATATTGATAAAAACTGTACGAGTTATTTCTGGTTGCGTGATAACAAGGTACTGTGGATGGAGAGACGAGTGAAAGCAAGAACATATATAATCATTGGTTTCAGTTAAGAAGTCAGTGTTTACTCAGGCAATACCTCCAGTGGCTGCCTGAGTTTGTCTTCTACTTCTGTAGTTTCGTTGTAGTTATTGTTTAATAAATGCAATTTTTGCCGAAACCTGACAAACTCTTCAATGGAATCTTTCCAAACATTCTCTGCTCTGACTGCATTTGCTTCGCATTTATCGTTTCTTTTTATTATTATTAATTTCTACAACTGTGTCAGGTTACATAAAATACAATAGGTTTGTAACTATTGAATATTTAATTCATCTTCTTAAAATTTTATACTGGTTTTTAAATTACATGTTTTTAAGTAAAAAAAAAAGTGTTTCCTATTGCCTTAAGGATAACACATATGTAACTTTAAGTATTTCATTTTAACCGTTTTAGAGGTATTAATTTCAATTTCATACAATACATTCCTATCATTCCCATCCAAGAAATTTAGAAATGGCATAAATCAAGCTTTCCCTCAGATAATTTAACACTGAGACAGCGGTTCACATCCTCATCTCTAGGGCGTTAACTGTCTCTAGTTTCGTAAAGACTTGTCTAGTAATTTATACTATTAGGAAACACCTTAAAGGGGTTGATTTACAGCGTCAGGACGTCTTGAAGACGCCTTCAAGATGTCGCATTTTTTCCCTGGTTTACAAAGGGTTACAGCTACTGGGCTTCACGAAGGGGATGAGTTACACCTTCTACGTCTCTCGAGGGTATAAACATGCAGCACCTGGGTCTCTCGTCGGTGTTGAGCTACAGCTCTCTTGCCTTTGTAGGAGGATAATTAACACTTCCTGTGCCTGTTGAGGCTTTTTTGATTCAGTTCCTTTGCCTCTTATAAGTGTTAGGTACAGCTCATATGCCTCTTGAGGTGTTAGGTACAGTTCCTGTGCCTGTTGAGAGTGTTGGACTTTTCTTGATGGTGTTAACTACATTTCCTGTACCTGTTGAGGGCATTAGATACTGTTCCTATGCCTGTTGAGGGTGTTAGGTACAGTTCCTGTGCCTGTTGATGGTGTTTGTTACTTACAGCTCTTTCGCTTCATAAATATACCGAGGTAAAACTTTTGTGCCTATTAAGGATATTAAGTAATAGTTCCCAGCACATTAAATAGAGGATTTTGAGTCACTCCATTAATTGTACTGATGCTTAAAAAAAAAGTTTATCACGCTGAGGAATTTGTGTTGTTGTTCCAGCCTCACAGGTATTCCAGCTCACAGGTGTTCCAGTCTCACAGGTGTTCCAGTCTCACAGGTGTTCCAGCCTCACAGGTATTCCAGCCTCACAGGTGTTCCAATCTCACAGGTGTTCCAGCCTCACAGGTGTTCCAGCCTCACAGGTATTCCAGTCTCACAGGTGTTCCAGCCTCACAGGTGTTCCAGTCTCACAGGTGTTCCAGTCTCACAGGTGTTCCAGTCTCACAGGTGTTCCAGCCTCACAGGTGTTCCAGCCTCACAGGTGTTCCAGCCTCACAGGTGTTCCAGCCTCACAGGTGTTCCAGCCTCACAGGTGTTCCAGCCTCACAGGTGTTCCAGCCTCACAGGTGTTCCAGTCTCACAGGTGTTCCAGCCTCAAAGGTGTTCCAGTCTCACAGGTGTTCCAGTCTCACAGATATTCCAGCCTCACAGGTATTCCAGTCTCACAGGTGTTCCAGCCTCACAGGTATTCCAGCCTCACAGGTGTTCCAGTCTCACAGGTGTTCCAGTCTCACAGGTGTTCCAGTCTCACAGGTGTTCCAGCCTCACAGGTATTCCAACCTCACAGGTGTTCCAGCCTCACAGGTGTTCCAGCCTCACAGGTATTCCAGCCTCACAGGTGTTCCAGTCTCACAGGTGTTCCAGTCTCACAGGTGTTCCAGTCTCACAGGTGTTCCAGTCTCACAGGTGTTCCAGCCTCACAGGTATTCCAGCCTCACAGGTGTTCCAGCCTCACAGGTGTTCCAGCCTCACAGGTGTTCCAGTCTCACAGGTATTCCAGCCTCACATATATTCCAGTCTCACAGGTGTTCCAGCCTCACAGGTATTCCAGCCTCACAGGTGTTCCAGCCTCAAAGGTGTTCCAGTCTCACAGGTATTCCAGCCTCACAGGTATTCCAGTCTCACAGGTGTTCCAGCCTCACAGGTATTCCAGCCTCACAGGTGTTCCAGTCTCACAGGTGTTCCAGTCTCACAGGTGTTTCAGTCTCACAGGTGTTCCAGCCTCACAGGTATTCCAGCCTCACAGGTGTTCCAGCCTCACAGGTGTTCCAGCCTCACAGGTGTTCCAGTCTCACAGGTGTTCCAGCCTCAAAGGTGTTCCAGTCTCACAGGTGCTCCAGTCTCACAGGTATTCCAGCCTCACAGGTATTCCAGTCTCACAGGTGTTCCAGCCTCACAGGTGCTCCAGCTTCACAGGTGTTCCAGTCTCACAGGTGTTCCAGCCTCACAGGTATTCCAGCCTCACAGGTGTTCCAGTCTCACAGGTATTCCAGCCTCACATGTATTCCAGTCTCACAGGTGTTCCAGCCTCACAGGTGTTCAAGTCTCACAGGTGTTCCAGTCTCACAGGTGTTCCAGTCTCACAGGTGGATGGGGGTAGCTGGCTGGCTAGGTCGAGCGTTAACCTTCTCGGGAGGCCTAGCGTCATAGATAGCGACCGGCCCAGTAGAAATTTATCTCCAGTAAATCTCTGTAATCGTCAGAATTACAGGCCCACCGCTGCCACCAATTTGTCGTAGGTGTTCTTAAGGAGATACGAGGGTTGAAGGTAAACACCTTGTTGGATGGTAACACTATATATTGTCAGACTGTGGATGAGAGGTGGGAGCCCAGACCTGCCCTGTTCTGCCTGCTGCTATGTCTATCCGTCGAGTGAGGAAGAGGCAGCTCGTCACTCACTCACTCACGCTGCATCCCGTGACGTCATACAATAACACGCCTAAGGGATCTTCTATATAAACACATAGATGGTACTATGATACTCAACTAATCTATCCATACAACAAATGTAAAGGAGGATCAGCAACTGTGCTGACACTCACAGATGTTCCAGTCTCACAGGTGTTCCAGCCTCACAGGTGTTCCAGCCTCACAGGTGTTCCGGTCTACTGACAATGGAAATTACTCATTGAAATGTTGTTTAATATTTCATGATCACTTTTAAAAAAATGTTTTATTTTCTATTGTTTATGCTAGTCTCGTATATCTTTTATTCTTCTTCTTCCTCTTCATTTTTTCTTCTTCTTTCTGCCTCTGTTTCTGTCTGTCTGTCTGTCTGTCTCTCTCTCTCTTCCTCTCTCCTCTCCTCTCTCTCTCCTCTCTCTCTCTCTCTCTCTCTCTCTCTCTCTCCTCTCTCTCTCTCTCTCTTCTCTCTCTCTCTCTCTCCCAGTGTGTTTTGTGAGTATTTCTGCTACATTTTTTTTGTGTGCTTTGTTTTTTAATTTAATTTGTCGTTTAGTTATTATTTTTTCTTTGTCTCTTCTCTCTCTTTCCCATTCTTTCCTTTCACATTGTGTAGTTTCCTCTTAACCTTCTCTCATTTAGTATTCTCTAATTAGATTTGGATACATTTCCAAAATCTGGTTTATTTTCTTTGTTCAGGCATAATTTTTTTTTTATCTCAAAAGATTTTTTTTAAAGTCTGTGTGTTTTAACCTATTTTTGTTCCACCCATTAGAGATGATCTGGTTTGGTATAAACCTTGATGATATAAACCGACAACTGGTTTAGAAAGACACGTTAGCAAACACTAGGGCATATTTATTAGAAAAGGTTTCGGTCCTTGGTCCTTGATCACGGTCCCTGGACCGAAACGTTTTCTATTAAATGTGTCCTAGTGTTTGCTGACGTGTCTTTCTAAACCAATGATCTGGTTTGATCCATAAAAGGGTAGAGGAGAGGAGTTTGGCTGCAATGCCTTGGATCAAAAGCCTTCCTTAGAGAATGTGTGTGTTGAAACTTCCAGTCTATATAGTATTAGTGAAACGAATTAGTGAAGTCATCCATGA